TGCTCAGCGCCACGCCGCTCACGCCTGCGAGGAACCGGCCCCGGCGTGGAGCCGTGCAGTGCTAACATCTTCTTCTTCTCAGTTGCTGCTGCTGCAGAGCTCGTCTGAAAGTCCAGAAAACTGATTTGGCTTTTTTTTTTTTGGTTAAAGAAAGAAAATTGAGAACTGAAGTAATTAAAGTATCTTGAAGTTACAAAAAATGAAGAGCGGAATTAATGACAAATATGTATAAGGGACACAACTTTGTACTCCCTCTAACATAGTTCTAGCTTTTTATAAAGGAAAATCAACGTTTTGCACCCCTGCAGAGGGACACACACGAGGTGTCACAAGTAAACAGGGCACTGTCAAACTGAAATCCGGTCAACAGCAAAAATTAAAATAAATTTCCAGTGCTACAGAAATACTCCATTCATTTCTGTAGTGCTAAACCACATTCTGTCTCCTTCTCTCTCTCTTACTGTTTTTCTCTGCCTTACTGTCCCACGAAAGACTCACAACAGCAGCAAAGCAGACTGCGAGAAGCAGTGAAACCGATAAGACACAAAACCACCCAAAACAAACACAGCGGGGAGCAAGCACAAAGGTTTTTGCTGATCTTTCTCCCCTAGGTGTGAAGTCCTACTTACAGGAACAGACGATTAAATATTTCCCATTATAAGCACGATTTCTCAAGTTTACTTCGTCTCTGCTTGCTCTGCAACATTTAACTAAATAGTCCCCCAACATCTACGAATCTTTATAAAACAAAGTTAATAAAAAAGGATTTAGCAAGCGGTTGTAACAAGGTGAAAACTACTCCTGCACCTTCCATCCTCCGCCAGATAAAGGAGGTGCAATGCGCTACCCGGCCTTGCACGACAGTCTCGCAAGAAGACTCGCATGCCTCTGGCTCGCTAGAACAGCTTCTTTGGCCAGAAAACCATGGATTTTCCACCGGGATGGCCTTCTGTGAACCGCCAAAACAGCGCTTACCATCAACCAGCTTCTAGAAAGACAGTTCCAACGCAAAACCTCAGCCTGAGAGTTCTCAAGCTCTGAAAAAAAGTACCAAAGGCGGAAAAACCTACCAGGGTTTCAGCTTTTTACAGCACAGTTAAAAACTACGTCCACCAACAGAATACACGTTCGGCTGCAACCAGCTGCAGAGTTTGGGGCGAAGGAAGAGTTCTACACGTCACAGAGCGCTGACAGGAGGGCATTCAGAAAAGCAACACCCGATGTTTTATTAGCCAGAAAATAATTAGCGTTCCACTCTGTACGAAAACCACGTCTTTGTAATCAGATCGGTGCGGACGCCGATCTTCAGAATAAAACCAGCGCCTCCACGCAGCGACATTTCCAAAGGAATTTAATTCAAACGAAAGGATTCTGCAGTAGGAGCGTTATGAAGTTGCTCTGAAACTTCTCCAGCCAGAGAAACCCCTCACACTCTAAACGGGAGTTGAAGTCTCCAACACCTCTTCTCTTTAAACAGAAATAAGAACGCCACACTTCAGCGTGGGCAAGTCTAATTTATCACCCTGACGTTTGTACAACCCTCCCAGCAGCATGTTCCCTAGTTTGAACCACTAAAAATCCCCAAACGCCTGGGGAGCATCCAAAAAGAACAACGAAGGAAACAAGCAAACCCCATTCCCACAACTTTCACTGATCCTCATGAAAAATATTTTAAAAAATGCTGAAGAGGTGTCCCCTTCGGGACGTGTCTGTGCAGGAACGACCCTCGCACGACGGTACGCCGCACCACTCCCTGCTTCGGTGCCCCACAAATGGCACGATGCTTTCTTCTCCTCGCTATTTTGTTTTTGCCTGTTCACAACACAGATTATCCACGCCTGTCTCCGGCTAAATACCCACAGCACGGCTGAAACCGTGGATCCCCAGCCTCAGAGGAAGCGCCAAAGCATCATCAGCAGGGAAGGAACAAGACGACGGGATATCAAAGCTGTACGCCAAGGCAAAGAGAAGCGAGAGGCAGCACGAGAGCACCCAAGGGAGAAACCAAGTTCAGTTCTGCCCGTTGGAATCTAGCAGAGACCGAATGGTGTTTCAGCACCGAAATATTGCAGGAGGCAACTGAATGTTTTGAGCAGACTTTATAAAGTCAGAAATCAAAGAACACCAGACACAGCATTTCATTCTCAAATACTAACTAACAAGAGTCAAACACTGACACACACAAATTACAGAAAGTGATTTAAAAAATTTGGTGAAATTATGCGCGAGTAACCTGCTGAAATTTTGGATTCCTCATTGTCTCAAAACACATTGCCTCCCCCAGCCGCAGCAGTTAAAATACCATTTATTTCATTTTGCAATTAAGACTCTCGGGGAAAGTTTTTTTCATCCTGAAGACTGACAGAACTCCATTTTTTTCCAGGAATCTGTGAAAGACGGAGGCAAAGGAGAGCACATCCCACCAGCTCATGCCAGAAGGCAGGCGAGGAGGCCTGAGTCAACGCACCCAGCTACGGTGCTGGATCCCATTCCACGCACAGGAATGCTCCTTCAAACTTCAGCAGCGCTTTCCATGTGCGTTCTCTTCCACTCCCCCCCCCGCCTCACGCTTCTGCAAGAAGACGCAGCTCAGCGAGCATTCCCACGACAAGCAGCTTCAGGAGCAGAAGCCTGCGGTCTGAAAACGCGCGCGTTATATCGTCGTGAGGGATCGTGATATTTGTGAGAGGAAAATATCGGTGAGATCGCGTACGAACACGTTGCGCCCAGCCGCCCTGCGCCTCCCTGACACTCCTTGCCCGGGGAGCTGGAAGAGGCGGCTCACACGCGCGGTACCCAGCCAAAATTCAGGGGTAAATGGCAATTCCCGTCAGTAATCGCCCTGGTTTTGATCGGTCGATCTCGAGGGTCTCTGCGAAGGAGACCCCCGCTGCCCTCTGGGTGAAG